CTCCTGCGGTGCCCTCAGGCCTTGGAGGTATTACAAATAAAACATCTGGCATAAACAAACATACTCTTGCAGAAATTTATTGAAAACTAAAATCACCCTTAACCGTCATTCAGTTTTCTTTTGCACCATCTGCCTGCGATCTATCGTTTTTTTTTTTCTATTCGTCATTGTAGTAAGCTGCTCAGTACGATCCCAGTGATACAGTTGGGAGACACGCACATGTTGTCAAATCTGGATTTTGTTTTGTACTGCAACTACCCCATATTTCCCTCGTTTTGCTTCAAATGTTACCCACGGTCACCTGCAAGTTAGACACGTGCAGTATTTTGGAGAATGTCTGCGCACTAAGTCCGCAAAACTGCGGCAGGCATCACGAACCGACACTGCAATGACAAGTAACTAGGCGGTTTATTTTTAAACAGAATATACTCAGTGATTGAACAACTGTTTCCCGTTTTTGCGCCACTCTCGCTGCAGCTAAAAGAACGACTGGGATGCATTATGAACACTTGATAGTTTAAACTTGCAATTACTAACGATATGCATCGATCGTGTAAGCAAGATTGTCGGTAGCCTCAAAATTGCTCAAAACATGAACGATGACGTATGGCCGTACCTGCAACCGCGTAATAAGTCTACCGGGTTAAAGCTTGACATGCGTTAAAGAGCCGTAAACCGGACGTGCGTCTGGTTGACCTCCCTGCTTTTCATTTCTTCCCTTCCTCCTCCTCCTCCTTAAAGAGCCGTGACGAACACGCTGCGAGATGTACGGGAAAAAGCGGACCTTGATGCTAGCGACGCTGCGGCAAACAAATACGTCTTATGTGCAGTCCGTCTACGCAATTTGCCCGAGACTGTATACTTACGGTATCAGTAGTTCGGAAACAACCCAAAAGAAATCTGATTCACAAGACACACCACACACACAGCTGCCCTATGTAGCGGCGCTGCCGGCGAGTCCGCGGAGGCCTTGGCTGCTAGCGCGGCAACCACAAAAAACAGCAAAAATTCCAACTGAACGTGGCAATGACGTTCGTGGTAGCCGCTCCCAATGAGCGCCGTAGCAGACGACATAGGCGTCTCCCTTCTCTCTCGCGCGTTCTCCAGCATATGGTCAAACACGCGGCCGGGACTCCCACTCCAGAGGTTCTATAATGATGAGACCATAGAGTTTTCCAATATACACTAGAGGGAACGCTGGCGCTAGTGTCTATGGGAGTTGCAACGCACGGCGCGTCAGCGAGCATGGAAATGATGGGTAGTACACACATTTGTCTAATCTTCGTACTTCTAGCTCCATGTGTGTTCGTGTGGATTGGAGCTGTTTTCTCACAAAACAAATATCAGCAAATGTTCAGCGGTCATGCTTCACCACTTTATTTTTTAAGGTTATACTTTTTAAATTGGGTCACGAAGTTCAAAAGAGTTTGTTCTTTTCTTTCAAAACGAAACCGTAATCGGCAATAAACAAAGCCACAAGTACAATTTCGTCGCCCACAAGCACGAAGACTAGGCAAATGTGTGTACTAGCCTAGCCATCATTCCCATGGTAGCTGAACGATCGCAGCGCCAGAGTACCTTCTAGTTAATTTTAGTAAACTCTATGAATGAGCCAGCCTCCTTGTCTGTATATTAACTATATGGTTGCTGGTGGCAACGCCTCCTAGATCTCCTGTGCCTGCCGGATTATCGGCGGTCACTTGGGAAGCGGCGGTCGTCGGAACTATGGTGGTGGCGCTACTCAAGTAGGGGTGTCTTCAAATAAATTTTTACGTTTTTGAAGCCTATATGCAACCAAAATAACGTAAAAAAGTTTTGAAAGGTGTACACGTAAATATAATTAACCCCACGTAATTGACGCCGTCATTCAGCAAACAACTTTTTTATTACAAGGCATCCTCTAGCAAACGCCTAAATTGCCCATCTCAAAGGCCGAGTAGAAAGACCCTTACCCTTACCAGCATTGAAGGACTCTGCCCTTACGTAGGCAGCGCCGTCATAGATGACCGGCGTTTCGCGCTCATCTGGCAGGCACAGGAAATCTAGGAGGCGTTGCTGGTGGCTGGTAGCAACGGATAACGCAAATAACATGGGAGGTAGGAAGGCTGCAATCGACGATAGATTACGCACTGATGTCACATAGGATGCATGATAAGCTCAGGGGAATGCACATAGATGAAGGTGGCTCCAGAAGTCTGGGTAGCGATCACAAACGTATCAAGCTAAGTTTTGGAAGAGCAGTGAAAGTGGGAAGGAGACAAGATGAGCAACTACAGGAAAATTTTTATACAGAAAGGCAAATTAAAATAGCCACTAAACAAATTGAGAAAGTAATCACGGAGGATAACAAGACACTGTGGACATACACGAATCTAATTATACTCCTTGAGCTAGAGCTTGCTAAGACGCGTGACAAATCACCCCGGAAAAGAAGACACAAACCCCAAAGTTGGTGGGATGACGAAGTTAAGAGAGCCATAGCAAAACGTCAGGAAGCCTCTAGGGAACACAGACATGCTAAGCAGCGGGGTGAACCTACAGATGATGTTGAAAGAAAATGGGCAACCTTTCTAAGCTGTAGAAGGGATGCATCCCTTCTGATCAATGAAAAGATTAGAAGGAAGGGAGCTCAGTGGCTGGCAGAAGTACATAAAAAAGATAGAAAGGCAGCTGCGAAATTTTGGAACCATCTAAACTCCCTAAGAAATGAGACGAGCCTAGAGCAGAGTTTTATAACTACAGCCCAAGGTGCTAGGCTAGAAGGAGACGAAGCTATTGAATATATAAGAACAAGGGTGACAGAAAAATTTCAACAAAGAATTACTTTATGCACCACAATAGACAAGGACGAGTCAAGTGGTGCAATGGCTCCATTTTCACTACAAGAGTGGGAAAGGGCTGAGAAAAGGGTTCCTGGTAGTACATCAACAGGCCCAGATGGCATTCCAATTAGGCTAATAAAGACATTAGGTCCGAAGTCTAAGCAGGCTTTGAGAGAGGCAGTGAGCAAAATAATAATCGATGGTGAAGTTTCCAATGGATGGAAACTTAGCAGGATGAGCATGATCTATAAAGGAAAGGGGGACAAAGCTGACATAAACAACTACCGTCCTATAACAGTGACATCAGTGGTCTACAGGCTGGCGATGCAAATTATAAAGGAAAGACTGCAGGCGTGGATAGAGGATGAGGGGGTGCTGGGGGAACTGCAGAATGGGTTTCGGAAACACAAGAGGTTGGAAGACAATCTGTTCTCACTGACGCAGTGCATCGAAATAGCAGAAAAGGAACACAGATCTCTTCTCACTAACGCAGTACATCAAAATATCAGAAAAGGAACACAGGCCCCTGTGGCTAGCATTTTTGGATATCAAGGGAGCGTACGATATAGCGTGGTTCAAGAGTAATTGTGGGGAATACTGGACACACCAGGCGTGGAAGATGTAGTCACCAATCTTTTAAAGGATATCTATAAAGGTAACAAGGTAATTATAAAGTGGGAAAAACAGGTATCCAAGCCCACAGAGGTGAAACGGGGGCTTAGGCAGGGGTGTCCTTTGTCACTCTTGTTATTCATGACGTACCTACAAGGATTAGAGGCCAAATTAGAGGGAAGTAGACTGGGCTTCAACCTCTCTTTCATGAAACAAGGAAAACTCATTGAACAGGCACTATTAGCATTGATGTATGCAGATGATATAGTGCTAATGGCCGACAACAAGGAAGATTTGCAGAGATTGGTGGACATCTGCGGTAATGAGGGAGATAGGTTAGATTTCAGATTCAGTAAGGAAAAATCACCAGTCATGATTTTTAATGACAATGAAGGTAGTGAGCTTAGAATACAGGAGGCCACGCTAGAGATAACAGATAAGTTCAAATATCTGGGTGTATGGAAAAGCAATGAGACGAGGTACCTAAGGGAACACGAACAGTACGTAACGGCTAAAGGTAACAGAAATGCAGCAGTGATGAAAAACAGGGCACTGTGGAATTACAATAGGTATGATGTTGTGAGAGGATTATGGAAAGGGGCCATGGTTCCTGGTCTAACGTTCGGCAATGCGGTCTTGTGCATGAGATCAGAAGTTCAAGCAAGATTAGAAATTAAGCAACGTGGAATAGGTAGGCTTGCCTTAGCAGCTCACGGGAATACACCAAATCAGGGAGTACAAGTTGATATATGGGATGGACATCATATGAGGGCAGGGAAGCTAGCAGGAAGATAACATTTGTGAAGCGATTGAGAGAAATGGGGGAGGAGCGTTGCGCTAGGAAGGTATTCAGCTACTTGTACATGAAGAATGTCGATACAAAATAGGAGGAAGCGAACTAGAAAACTGACTGGTAAATACTTGGAAAACAGCAGGGGGCCAATCCAAAAAGAATTATCGGTTAAGAAGAAGGTGAAAGGAAGCTGAGACCGATATGTGGAAAATTGGCATGATTAAGAAGTCCGCACTAGAGATCTATCGAACTGTTAAGCAGGAAATTGCCAAGGAAAGGATCTATGATAATACTCGGGGTAGTTCTCTACTGTTTGAGGCCAGGACGGGAGTATTGCTAACCAAGACACATCGAGCCAAATACGAAGGGGTAGACACGGTATGTAGTGCGTGTGGAGAGGAAGAAGAAACTGCCGAACACTTGATAATGTTTTGTAAAGGGCTTCACCCTATAGTTCAGGATGATGGCGCAGAGTTTTTCAAAGCTCTGGTGTTTAGGGACAGGGAGGGCAAAATAAACTTTAAGCGGGTAGAATTAACTCGAAGGAGGTTATCTGGTTGGTGGCTAAAGTCAATGCACGAGTGAAAATTAAACCCTTCACTGCAATATACGAATCCTCAACCCCACTATTTAAAGGGGAAAAAAAATATAAATCTAGTTTCTGATTTATTAAGTATTACGGCTCAGTGGCGCTAGCCACCTGCCTAATTTAAAGCGTACAAGCCATATTCATCCATCCAGCGATCCAGCATCCATTTGCTATCATCATTAGAAATAGGTTAGAATAAGACGGCCGAATCCGAATCCTGAAGCGTCCAATTCAAGCAATGGAGTACTTTAGTAACTTAGTTCTCTGGTTTAGTGTGCGCCGATCAGGCCGATCTGCTAATTAACGCTTGCCTTGTAATGACATGTATGATACTCAGCAGCTCTTGTGCACGAGGGGCTCAAGAGTCCGATTTGAATGCGCCGCCTGCTAAGATGAAGCAAGTCTTACACTTTGATGTGGTTTGGCGTTATGTTAAAACGCGGGTTTATTCGCAGCCACCGCCGCTTTCGGGCCGTGCTGAAGAAGCTCAGGAGAAAGAAAATTCGCCAGAAAGCTGCGCAGGAGAGGGACCGTCTTCTTAAAGGTAAGCAGCTGAAAAGCTTTTGCACCGATCTGTGTGGCTGTGGTTTGAGTGAATTGCACTGGAGTTTGTGCGCTGTTGGCTCATGACAGATGCAAAAAAATGCCACGCAGCTAGCACAAAATGTTCCGTTGTTGCAGGGATGTGAGGATCACATGTGCGCCCCCCCCCCCAAAAAAAGGGGACAAGCGTACCGCAGCAGTTGCCCTAATTAGCAGCTTCGTTGTAATGATCCAGGCGCGCGTGAATATACACGAGAAATGTTATCTCTGCTTTGAGTTGTGCCGCACACCATGGACCGTTCATACAGCATAACTCTTTTTTCCTTATGTTCCCCTGGCGAATGGGGGGAAATTTCAGCATTGCACGCAGCTGGTCTGGAAAAACATACTCGCAACACGGAATGGATAAATGTACTATCGGCTTCGAATGAAACGCGAACAGCGGAGCGCGTGGCACAAGCCTTATCAATAGCATAGTGCGTGCCGTCGACCAACCATTGGCACAGACAGGCCCGTACATCCGGTGTAGCAGCACTGCGCGATCCCCCTATTTCTGCTTATGTTCCAGGTATGGTATTTGAAAGGAACAAAGGAACAAAAAAAAAAAAAAAAACGGAGGTTAAACTACTGAAGCGGAAGGAGAGTATTGTAGCACGGTTTGTCATCACAGAGTCCATCATCAAGGAATTCCTGGCTAATTCAATTTAGAGTAGACAAAAGCCGGTTCAAAATGCTGACAATTTCACACTGTTTCACTTCGTGCCTGTAAAGCAAAACAATTTGCGCTCTCTCTTCCGAAGAAACACTCGGCATTTCCAGTTAAAGGGACGTGTTTTCGGGTCGGTCTTTCAAAGAAGGGGGCTGGCGAAGCAGCGCTGGCGAACGAGATGCGACGATCGTTTGAAAATCAACCGCAAAGTGATTATAATTCACTTTTTGTTTTATCGGGAAAAGTCACCGATTGCACTGCGACGCTGAAGTAAAAGCAAGGAATTGCGAGTGATACGATCAGAAGTTCTTGGCACGCTCAGAATGGCCACCATTACCACCATACGAAAATTAGAGCTGAAACGGGAATAGTGCATGTAGGGGGATCGCCCAGTGCTGCCAAAGCAGATTTGCAGGCCTGTCAATGGTGATGACTGGATGGCCAACACTATACTGTTTGTAATGCTTGAAACACGCGCCCCGCTGTTCTGGTTTCGTTTGACGCTGATAGTACAAATATGTGCGCACAATGGTGGAAGTCGTTTATGAGCCCTCTGTGTGTAACTGTGCACTGATATTGTATATAACGCAGTTGAAGTAGAAGAGGTGGCCGTGTCATTGGGCCAGGAGGAGCAGGAACAGAAAGAACGAGAGAGGTGAGTTGTGCAGGTTTGACCTGCCTGCCTCTGGTGTACTTTGCTGCTTTTCCTGTTTTGCATTGTAATCGTGTGGGGTCGCACTTGACTCCAAAGCCAGTATGTGTTAAAAGAGGCTCCATGTCATATCTGTAATGTCACTTGTCTTATGGGCATATGTCTTGTGGGTGTTGCCATACTAGAAATGGAAACCGAGAGCATTTCTGTAGGTAGTATGATAAAGGCGTTTACGCATGTGCTTCTTAACGTCCCTGCCTGGGGTTATTAATCATGCTGGGAGGCTATTTGCATGTATAGCTGAGGCTGCTTTCTCACTCTCTGGCAGGCTTTGAAATTCCAAGCTTCACGAATGTGTGCAAAGTGGCATCTGGCATCAAATTCGCCACACTCTTGTGCAGAGGGATTATGAATACAGTTCGCTGCTGTAGGTCCTCCACTATGAGGTCGTGCATCATGTTGCATTGATAAGCTGTAGTCATTTACAAAGAATATGCTGAGGCTGAGTGGTTGTTTGTGTCAGCATACTCGCAGCTATTGCAGTATACAGTCGAGTCCGTTTTATAACGAACCTGAGCGTGACGCGGCATCCGTTCACTGTATCCTGAAGTTTGTAGGAAATGAAACACAGATTTGAAGAAAAGTTGCGAGCGAAAACACGAACTTTTTTTGCCCCAAAAAGTCCGTGATGCATTGTTTCGAAGAGCAGAAGCGATAAGGGCGGTCTCGAGTTCATTGAAAACGCCAAGGTGCTCGTTCGCCTGAAGCCCGTGGCATAAGCAGCATGAGGCACAGGCTCCAAAGTTTCGTCGTTCTCGCAATCTAATTCCTCCAAATTGCTCTCGCCACATACTTTATTCACAATGCCCTAATCCGTGCACGGTTCCGTAGTGTCGGCATCATCATCGGTGGTAATTAAACCATTCCAACAGATGTCGCACCCACTCTCCCAGGTCGGAGTCGACGACGCACTGCCACAAATCGCCGCTGCAGTGGTCCTGTTCGGAAGCATCAGGCTCAGCATCGGGCCCGAAACCGATGAAGTCGGCCTCGCGAAAACACTTTCGCACGCATGTAGTCATCACTGCCGCCCACGAAATATTCACCTCCACTGCTGAATACCGGGGCACCCGAAGCGGCAAGTAGGCTGCCAGGTGGTCAACAGCTATGAGCAAGCGCTCCGCAACGCGGCACATAACGTGCGGATTATGCTCAAGCCAAGCGGTCACACTTTCAACGTTTTGTTGAGCGGCAGGAAAAAGCGTGCTAGTCCTTTCGGCGGCCATCATGACCGCACACGCACACCAAGTGCGAGCAAGACGCGCACACTTGACACACATGCCAGAACGCGTGGAACAGCTCTGGGCCCGTTTTCAGTCAGAAAGCGAAACTAATTCGAGCCAGCGTGGCGGGTGTCGCGGAGCGGTGGAGACGGGCGAAGAGGTTGGGATCAAGAGAGGAGAGCAGATTTGCGAGAGAAGGGCAAGGAGTTGCGATAAAGAGAGGGGAGGATGCGGCGGGAGGGTGACCTTGAAAACCAAAATACATGCGAAAGCGCAGGTTGGGTAGCTTGCTTGAAAGGTCCACGAAACTCGCACGTAGAAAAACTTGGAAAGAGTGCCCGCACGCGGGGAAGTCAAAGCATGGTTGCCTGGATCGGTGCGCGGCTGTGTTCGAAGAATCGGCGGCCGTGGTAAAAAAAATCCTTTTGTTGCTCCGGTGGGTTCGCGAGGCCTCACGAACTTCGATATTTCGCGATTCATTCCGCGCAAATTGACAGCCGTTTTTGCGCTTCCGTGCGCGCGCGGAAAGCATGCTGCGCCGAGTGCGAAGTGGGCGAGAACAAGTCCTAAACACGAAACGAATCACAAAGTATTAGAGACGGAGGGGTAGCGTAGGAGTGTGCACTAGACGCAGACTATTGGATATAGTCAGTGGCCGAAGATGTTGGCAGATGGTCTGGTCACTCCAGGCCGGCGACCCCAACAACAGTACCAGCGATCAAAAACAAGGTAGATGGCCGACCGGTCTTCGAAAGATTGGTGGCAGTGTGAAAACACTGGCCTCGTCTGGCAATGCGGGGTGCTCAGAGCAGTGGGGGGGGGGGGGGGGGGGGGACAAAGGACGGAGGGTGCATAACAAATAGCAGTCGGGGCATGGAGGAAGGAAACAACTTTCCTTCCTCCATGGGTTGGGAGAGGGGCAACTAGAGGGTCGCGTAGGCAGGGTCGGCGTTTAACAATAAGAATGTATGGGCACCTCGCCGATGCCTGATCGGTGGTCGGGATTGGTTTCCCGAAAGTCGGCAGACCGCTGACTCCGTTCGCTGTAACCGATCAGTGGCGCGCGGAGACGTTCGTTGTAAATGCAATTTTGTGCCATTGAACCAATGTATATTTTCACGATCACACGGATATTGTTCGTTTTAAGCGAAAGTTTGTTTTAAGTGGGGCCGTTGTATGTGGGCTCGACTGTATATTACCGAAGCTGTATCACGCGCTTTCTTTACAGAGTGTTTAATGGCTAGTGTGAACCTACAAAATGCTCATATCGCAGTCTTTAAAATAAGTTTTTGAAGCTGAAGGTGAATCGTAAGTACATGTCTAAGGCAACCTTCATATGAAAGGCCAGTGTAAAGCGTAGATTAGTGGGTTTAGTGGAAATGAAAACAGGTCACAGCAGGTTGTACTTTAACGAAGTTGTCTCGCCGTCATCTGCAGGTCCATTCACAAGCTTGTGGTCAGCGTCGTCTAAGTTTGATACTAAAAAAAAAAAAAGAACGCCTCTGAGAAACGTGGTGGTAATTGACTTTTTGGTGGTTGACATGTAGTGTGTGGTCAGTTATGGAACATGCGTACTTCATCAGTTTTTCTAGGATTCATCATCTTGTAACCTGTCTTGAGTTGTGCACATGACAGTCAGATATAATACCGTATTTATTCAGATGTGACGCGAAGTTTTTTTTTCCCTTCAAATTTTTGCTACTACAGTCGACCCTCTCATGTCGAGTACCGAAATTCTATTTCTTTCTTTCCAGACGTAATGAAATCTCGCCCCTCACATTACAATAAAATAAATACAGTGTGTGTAATATACGGCGCGATGCTTATGCTACCTACGTTTTCATGTGCTTTTTTGAACATTTTGAAGGCAAGTTTTCATTAAAGGAGCGCTGGCATCAAATTTACTCATTGTCAAGATTTTCGCATCGATGAGTAGCTATCGACCTTCTAGTAGCGATTCGCGACCTAAAACGCATCTGAGGGATAAATTAGTATATGTAATATTGATTAATATATTCGCTATCGAACACAGTTCAAAATGGGTGGAAGGCCTGCCAAATTTTAGTGCTGGCAGCGCTACCTCATGGCCACGTCGAGGTCGCTTCGCAGCTTAGGCTTTCACAAAAAAAAGTGATGTCACAGTGGCGTTTCGTCTGCTAAGGGCGCACGTACAGTCAGTCCAGCTGTGTCTCTGAAGGCGTAGACGTGCCTCTGTCGCCACCATCGTCGCCGTCATCGCGGTCATCATCGGCAAGTGATGATGACAGCGACCTGGAATTGGGTATCGCCGCGATTTGTGACGTTCCTTGCTTGTCAAGTTCTTCATTAAGTGCAATGTATTTAGCGAACTGGGAGCGCGGGGGTAAACACAGACACAAAGCCAAAGGGAGGCACACAGCACGAGCGCTCAACAAAGCTCCTCTTTGCTTTGTGTCTGTGTTTACCCCCGCGCTCCCAGTTCGCTGAACCATCATGAATTAACAACGAGCCCACCTTTCTATCCTATTGCAGTGCAATGTATTTATCAGTCCCGGCCGTACTGTCAGAGCTCAAGAACACCAACTACACACCTCATGTTGCGGGTGTTTGGCAAGTGAATCGCTGCTTTCAGCTGCAGCAAGGCACACGGTAGGAATAGCCCCGGCCTTGAGAAGAAGCCTCGTACTGCCAGTGAACCCTAACTGGTTCGCCAACACAGGATTTACCGTGTAGCAGCTCCCCGCAAAATGAAAGGAGCAAATGTGGCTGTTCTTCGCAGGCGTCCAGTCCCTCTGTTCAACGGCTGGTACAAAGTCGACCCACTGGCTGTGTTGAGGTTCGTGGCTTGGAAAGGCATGAAACGCGACGCACTTTCCGCTTTTTTCACGCCTCGACGTGCAGGTTCTCACTACGCAGTGGCTACCCCGACCAGTCTGGCACGTATTCTCCCTCTGACTGATCGTACTCGTACACAGTGTAGCACAACGCAAATCAATCGATGCGACACTGATGAGTCGCACGCACTCTTCTACCCAGCAAAGAGAGGCAGTTGTGAGAGCATGGCTGAGAGTCGACTACAAACACACTCGGAGATCGTCGACGTCATCGTTACTAGCGTATTGTCACTCAGGATGGTATTTGTGAAACATATCACACAGAACACGTAGCACTAGTGTCGATGTTGCAGGGCAGTCTACTTTTCATTTTTTCTCCATAGCTTTTTTATGCTGTTTGACGTCGAAATAAAGTAGCTTCGATGCGACAGACGCCAATAAAATTTGGCCAAGAAGATCTATGCATACCAAGTGATCGAATGACGGGCATATCTTGTTCTTGAAATGTGATGTCAGTGCTCCTTTAAAATACTTGTGATAATTTTTAGAGCACCAACCCATGTGCATTGGTGGAAATCGACGCCAGAGGGAGTCAGCTATACATGTTCTGCATTATTTTTTCATGTTATTAAAAGCTTTTTTAGGTTGCGTCATTTGTGAATGCAACAGTAACGCTGGTCTCGAAGCTTCTTTTTCCTCGTCCGATCATCGTGCACGGCGGCATGGTTCATGTTAGTATTTGTTTGTGCACCTGAAAGTTTCTGGCCGTCCTTAAAAGGGCAGCACTCCATCTGTGGAAAATTTAGCGCTGGTTCCCCATCGCAAAGTTGCATCTTACAAAAAAATAAGTTCATTATATGTGGAAATTCGCTATAAACATTTACCCATAACACTATATCGCAAAACT